CTGGCAGGGCCCGGTGTTGGGAGGCGCCAGGGGTCTACAAGTGCACAGTTTCCTCCTTGTCCTGGTGGCTGTGAGCCTGTCACCCCTGGATATGCCCGTCAGCCCAGGCCCTCAGCCAGCATGGGTGCCCCCTCATGAGCATGTTCTGCTCTGCTTCTGGGCCTTTGCAGGGACCATGTCTCCTGCATGAGCCATTATTCCTCTGCACCTGCCTCCAGTCGCATCGCCACCTCTTCCAGGAAGGCTTCCTGGTTCTCCCTGAGTCCACAGACCATCAGGGCCTTTCTTGCTGCGTGTTGAGGTTCCTGCTACACGGTCTCCTGCCAGGTCCCAGGCAGGCTCTTGGTGTGAAAATTAATCGGAGTTAATGAGAGCTGGTCTCTGTTCTCAGGGCATAGCTACATGGAGGCCAGGCCTGGGGCAGAGATGGGGTCTCTATCACCCAGCCCTGGTGGGGATGCTGGTGTTGTGGGTGCATTGGCTGGGAGCTGGCACCACCTGACAGCCTTCCCTGGGAGTTGCTGGCTGGGCTGAGTGTGGGGCTGACCCTGCCTCCCGGGTTGTAGCCGTGCAGGAGGAGCGGCAGCGTGGCAAGGACCGGAACGAGAACGAGGTGGAGTCAACCAGCAGCGCCAACGAGGACATGCCCGTGGAGAGGATCCTGGAGGCCGAGCTGGCTGTGGAGCCCAAGACCGAGACCTACGTGGAGGCCAACGTGGGGCTGAACCCCAGCTCGGTAAGTTGCAGCCCGTGCAGGGGAGGGCAGCCTGCCTGCCTCAGTTTCCCTTACCCACCTGAGCTGCTGCTGAGCCAGAGAGGTCCATCCTGGGGGCTGCCCTGGGCTCTGTGGCCACCTCAGCTTGGTCTTTTACCCGTGACGACCCTGTGGGCCCCTCACCCCAGCTGGGCACCACTGTCCTCTCCTGGGCCACGCAGGGGTGGCCCTCAGGCAAGGGACAGGGACCCTGTGGCTGCATCCTCCTCCTCTGCTGGGGCCTCAGCTACCGTGTCCCCTTGGGGTTTGGCCTCTATGGGCGCAGAGGCTGTCCCTGCTCCCTAGTGCCCCCTGGAAAAGGTGTGGGAGGAGGCCAAGCCTCTGGCGAGAGGTTCTGCACGTTGGTTCCGGGGCTGTCTTTGCCAGCAGCTGTATGGCCCTTGGCAGGTACCCAGCAGTTGTGGTGGGTGCTTTTGAAGCAGGAAGTGGCTCTGCAGTCCCCCAGCTTGTGACCCCCATGCTATCCCTCCTGCCTGTTCCCACCCTGGACTGGCAGCCTCAAGGGGAGGCGGATGGGTGGGCCGCAGCCCGTGGGTGGGTCCCAGCGGAGTGTTGGATTCGGACCCCCTGGCCTCACCCTCCCCGCCCTGGACCCTTCTTTGCCGCTGGCTCCCTCCCTGTGGCGTCTTGACTTATGGCTGTGGCCTTGCCAGGGAGGGCATCACAGGTGCGTTCTCAGCCCCTTTTACCCTAAGGCCCAGGGACATGCGTGTTCTGGGAACCATTGCTCTCTGGTGGGCTGGCCTGGCTGGGAGATCCCACTTGCCCCGGGCTCTACTGAGGGGCTGGCTGCAGCTGTGCCCGGGGTTGGGCGGGTGAGCTCCTGGCCGCCTGAGTCAAAGTTCAGGACTTTGCATGAAGCTTCCTGCTGCTCTCAGGGACCGTGGTATCCAGACTTCATCTGTGTCTCTCTGTGGGTTTGGGGCTGGGACCAGAGCCCTGTGGTCACCGATGACCTTGTCCAGGCTGACCATGAGGTGGCCCTGACCTCTGTTTCTCTGTGGGCCCAGGCACAGCAGGCTGCCCTCCCTCAGTGCTGGGTGTGCTCTGCAGGTCACTGTCCCTGCCGCCCACCAGGGCCTTCCTGCTTGCTGCTCCCGTGGCCTGGAGCCGGGCCCTCTCGCTCTTCCTCAGGCTTTGGTCTCAGCTGAGGTACCTCTGGCTTCTGTCTGTGCCCCCACCAGGGTGGGGACAGCCCCTGTGACGTGGGCTGAGAGCGCTTGCTCTTATCTCTGTGGCCCCTAGCACGAGCCATCACAGGGTGATGTGTGAGCGCAGGGCAAGGTGTGCGGTGGGTTAATGTCTGCTGCCCCCACGAGGCAGCTGGGGACGGCTGGGCTGCTCCTCGCCGCCAGCATCGGTCGGGGACAGCCACCCCGCCCCTGCTCCTTGGCACTCACATAGGGCCCACACCCCCACTGCCTCTGCCTGTCTGAGGGTGAGGGTCTGCTCTTGCCTGAAGCCCCGTGGCTGGGTTGGGGCTGCCCTGCCCCCCTGCCCTTTCTGGATAGGACAGCCCGGTGCCTTCTGCACGTCCTGGCTCTCCTCAGACCTCTACTCTGGCCGGGGGCTGGGGCTGCTGGGGAGAAGGCACATGGGACCCCGACAGTAGGCCCCTTCTTTCCAGAGAAACCCTCCCCGTGAGTGACTGGCGCAGGCCCACCCCAGCTGGGACACTGCACCGTCCTGTCTGGTCTGCACATCTGCCCTGCCCTGTCCTGTGCCCACCTGTCCAGCCCCGCAGAGGGAGGGAGAGAGGGAGGGAGGGAGGCCCTGAGGGTTTCATGAGCCAGCAGAAAATCCAGAAGCAAGGTCGGCGTGTGCACCAGGGGCCGCCAGGTTTTCATTCTGTGGAGTAAGGACGTTATTTGGGAGAAAAGTCTGCCATCTGCTCTCTCTCTCATTGCATAAAAGTTCAGGGGGTTCAGAACGGCAGGGGCAGGCAGGACTTTCGGGGGATACAGGATGCGTCTCCGCAGGGATGGGTCTCTCCGTGTCCGCTCCTCTGTCTGATCTCACACTGAACGCTCCTCTGTGGACTGCTCACTGGGCCCCTTCCCTCAGATGGGCAAACTGAGGTCAGAGAGGGGGCAACCTGCCGAGTGTCACGGTCCTGGTGCCCGGTTTCTCCCCAGCATGGGGCAGGGCCAAGGTAGGGTAGGGTAGGTCCTGTGGACACTTGCAGGCAGGAGTGACGCCCGTCACACGCCTTCCATTACACGAGGCACGTTGGATCTCCAGGCGAGAATGAGAGGCTCACAGAGGTTAAGCCTTTCCCGAGGCCACACAGGGAGCTGGAGCTGGGCAGAGCTGGGAACCTGCATGGCCCTTCCCTTCCTGGGGGACCCCTCCAGGCCTGGCCCTGCTGTCATGGGAGCCAGAGCCTCATACCTGCTGGGCGTGTGCCTCCTTCTTCGCTCCAGCCTGCTGGCTTTTCAGCCGCCACACCCTGCTCCTGGTTGTGGCTGTGCCCGCTGCAGGCACATGACAGATGGTGACCCTGCATCCTCTCCTGCAGAGGCCCCATCAGGGCAGGAGGACTTGAGGCTCATCTTCCCACCCATGGCAACTGCCTGTCACCTGGGCCTGCCCTGGGCCCTGTGTTGTCTTCTGAGAGTGGCCCGCCAGCAGCTAGGGAGTTCCCGGGTACAAGGCTCCCACGCAGAGCCACGTGCTGCAGACGAAGTGCTTGGGCTGTTTTCCCCACATCCCCCTCCCCTCCCAGGCCTGCGTGACCCTTTCTCAGGGATGCCCTGCAACAAATGGGCAGGCGAGAAGGACCTGCCCCGTTCAGCCCCCAGTGAGACAGAAGGGGAGGCTGAGGCTGCGAAGCCGGGCCTGGCTGTGGCGGGCCTGGGGGGTGCTGGGCATAGAGGCTGGAGCCTGAGTGGCAGGACTGTGGACGTGCTGCTCATGGAAGGTTTGCGGTGGAATGAGTGAGCCTGAGACCTGTGTAGACCGTGGTGAACCCCTCTCAGCTAAAGAATCCTGCCCCTCTGTTCACCTCTTCAGGCTCAGGGCCCCGAGGGCTGTCCTGACCGCCACACCATTCATCTGGGGCCTTCCCACTCAGCCCGTAGAGGCTCTTCCCACCGGGCACTGCGTTTAGGCTGCACGCCTCTGACGAACGTGGTTTCTGTCAGTGGAAGCTCTTCAAAGAGAGACATTTTCTCCTTGGCGAATGCCCTGGAGTAAGGGGTCCCCGAATCCCATTCACAGTCATTCCTGCAGCCACACGGCCGAGGGGGCTGTCGTCTGAGTCCCCATTGCTCGGGACATAGAAGGTCCATGACCCAAGCCCCACCAGCCAGGAACTGGGGAGGGGCCTCCCCTCCTGCCCTGCTTCACGGCCACCTGGGTCCCCTCATCTGTGAGACTTAATTGCCTTCTTCTGGCTAGGACTTGCCAATGGAGCTGGGAATGCCACTCGCTGTCTGTGCCTGGGGCCTGGTGTCTCAGCCGCGACGCCTGCCCTCCTCAGTGCCCAACTCCATGTCTGGTAGAATAGGAGAGGCCAGCCCTATCCCCAGGGTGGGACACTGTGGCCATCAGAGATGAAGGGGGTCGGTCCCACCCAGCTCTGCCGCTCCCCCATATCTGGTTTTCCCAGCCCCCTGCACCTGCCTCCCAGAGCCATGGGAGAGATGCATGTCCTGCTGTCACCTAGCGGCTGGAAACGACACACATTTTATTATCTGACCGTCCTGAGGTCGGACAGCCAAATCAGTCTTGCTGGGCTGAAGTTGAGGTGTCTGTGGGCTGGCTCCTGGAGGCTACGACGGGGAGGCTGTGACGGGGAGGCCGCCCCTGCGCTTGCCAGCTTCTGGTTCCCCCATATCCCTTGGCTCATGGCCTCTTCCTCCGCCTTCAAAGCCAGCAGCGTCTCCCTCAGGCCCCGGTGCCCGCAGTCGCATCTCCTCCTCTGCCTCTGCTGCCTTCCTCCCCTGGGCCCCTTGCAATGACTCTTGCAAGAGCAGCCGATGAGCAGCTCTTCACCCTGGTGGAGTGGGCCCGCAGTGCAGGTTCCTACATGCCGGGGCCCAGGTGCAGGCCCAGCTCCCAATCTAAGGCCACACCTAATGCCTCTCAAAGCCCTGTTTGCCGTGCAAGGCCGGGGTTTAGGTTCCGGGGATTAGGGTGTGGGCATCTTTGGGGCTGTATTCGGCACCCCTCATGGGCCCGGCATGTGGGTGGGGCCTGGTCTGGGCTGTGTTCCGTCAGTACGTCGACTTCTGGGACTGAACGTGCTGCTCCTCTTCCTCCCCTTCAGCCGAACGACCCTGTCACCAACATCTGCCAAGCAGCCGACAAGCAGCTGTTCACCCTGGTGGAGTGGGCCAAGCGCATCCCGCACTTCTCAGAGCTGCCCCTGGACGACCAGGTCATCCTGCTGCGGGCAGGTGAGTGGCCGGCCCGGGCGGGGGTGGGGCAGGCGTGAGGACGGGACGCGCCTTGGAACACTCCCACCTCCTGGGACCAGCTGTGGACTATGTGGGACTGTTGGGGAAGGGCCTAGGGCCTCAGTTTCCCTCCTGCCCCCATACGGAGGGATGCCATGCGGGTCTCTCTGTATGGCCTTCAGAGAGGTGAAGGGCTGTCAGTAGAGGATGGGAAGCTCTGGAGAGGGAGGCTGGGTGTGTCTCAGGGACTGCCCCGGAGGGCCACGCGCTCTCTGCCCTCTCTTCCCACTCCAAGGCCCTGTTTCCACGCGGGAATGGTGATGCACCCAGCCACGGCACAGAAATGCCCACTCCACGCTCGGCACATGTCCTGCGACGCCAGACAGACGGGGGCTGGGACCTCAGCTTTGGGGTTTTGGGGTCAGGTTGGCAGTGGGAGCCTGGGTGGGGCAGCGCCCTCTGAGCTGGTCCCCCACCTGAAAAGGGGGTGTGAGGGGCATCCCGCCTGGGCTGGTCCTCACCAAGTCGTGGAGTAGCTGAGTCCAGGCCCTTAGTGCAGGTCCCCGCTGGGGCAGCAACACGTTGGGGGCCCAGGTCTGCCCGCAGTGCCCTCCCAGCAGCGACAGTGGTGCTGGCTGCTGTCTCATGTGCCCCTGGGCCCAAGAGGCCAAGCTCCCTTAGGGCCGGGTGTCCCAGCTGCCTGGAGTTCCACAGCTGCACTGCAGGCCCCGTCCTCAGCCTGACCAGGGAGCCTCGGCCCATGCAAGGCGACTCCTCAACAACAAATGGAGAAGACACACCAAACAGAGACGGGGCTCCCTGTGAAGCAGGGAACGTTCTGGAAGCTGCTTGGGTCAGGGCTGGGACCACACAGGCTGTGTGTGGAGGGCCTGGTGCCGCTGCCTCCTCCTTTAAGGACTCTTACGGCCATATTGGGGCCCCCGGATCAGCCTGGATAATCTCCCATCTCAAAGCCCTTGACTTAATCCTGCTGGCCTGGTATCAGGTGGGTCCTTGCCCCCCTGGGCCTCAGGCATGTGGGTGTCTGCTATTGTGGGCTCAGACTTCTTTCAGGGTATGGCGAGCGTTCCAGGTGCCCTCGTTTGCAGGGGCTCCCCCAGAGCCCTTGGTTCAGAGCCCCTGGCTTTGCCAGCTGCACGCCTGCCTGACTGCAGTGGTCTTTGTAGAGATACCCCAGGCCTTTGCAGAGAGAGGACGGTGCCCCCATTCCCAACCCACCCGTCAGACCCAGAGAATGGCTGGCCACACGCAGCTCTTTTCCTGGGGGGTCTCCTGGTGGTTGTGCACTGGGGCCGGGCAGAGGTCTGAGTTGGGTTGGGCGGCTGTGTCTGTAACAGCATCTCCGTGGCGCCTGGCCCTGCCGTCCCATGTTCTGGCAGCTTCTGGCTCCAACCTTGGCCTGCATGGGGTGATCGTGGTGGAGTGTCATCGGGTGGGGGCTCCCCACGAAGCCCATCCCTCAGCCTACAGCCCTGGTGCTCCGAATCCCTGGTCCCTTCTAGGGTGCCTAGGAAGCTACCCTGTGACATCCCTTCGAGAGTGGCCTCTGCTTCTGCCCAGTGGCTTTTTCCGGGATATTTTTACTGCTCCTTGTCTCTGGGTGGGTCTTTCCAGCCTGGCCTCCCCCTGGTCCCCACTGAGGTCCTTGCTGACCTGTCTCCAGTGTGCCCTGCTCCTGTGTGGTGCCGGCTTCTAGGCACATGGTAAGGTCTGGAGCTGCACTTCTGACATGAGTCCCACCCCGCTGCCTGTGAGCATTGACCTTGACCAAGTCATTTAGTGTCTGCGCCTCAGCACCCTGTGTGTTCTGTCTGCTGGGGTTGGGAGCTTACCCACCAGGCGGTCTCCCCAAGCCCCTTAAGGTCCACTGAGGGACACATCCAGCCTAGATGTGGAGCATGGGAGTTTGAAGCCTGCACTGGCCCGGTGGCTGGAGAGGACCTGGGTCAGCCCCAAGGATACACCGTGCCCAGCTGGTGTTGACTGGAGGGCTCTGTCCCCTCCAGGGGACTCAGGTCAGGGTCCGTGGCTGTAGCCTGGCTGGGGGCTGGGGCAGCCCTGCTGGGTTTTCCTCTGTGTCGGAGGCAGTGGCAGAGGTGAGCCCCGCCCAGCCCTGGTAGGGGCAGGCGTGCGCTGGGTGCTCCCCCATTATGTCCCTCCTGCTGGGTCCTCCCGCTGCGTCCCCAGTGCTGGTGGGGAGGTGGCTTCCGCTGAGCGGTAGCAGCAATGGGAACAGCGGTAGCAGCAATGGCAACGGGTGCCCATGCCTGGGATTCCCACCATCGTGAGAGCCATTGGCCATCCAGGTTCAAGGCCCAGGGTCTCTGCTCACCCCGGGAGTGTCCACCTGTGGCTGTTGGTGTCACTGAGTGGGGGCAGTGGCCACAGCCATGCAGGGGCCCGGAAACTGTCGGAGGATTCCAGCCGGGCTGTGGGCAGCTGGCATCACATGCGTCTGCTCCTGTGGGGTGGGCCCCTTCCTTGGGGTGGGTTCCTGCCCCACTTGTCCAGGCTGCCTTCAGGAGTAAAGTATCCAAATGAATAGTTTTGGCTTGTTCATGGAAGCTCCGAGTCACACCCTGGCCCTTGAGTTTCTCAGATGAGGAAACCAGGCAGAGCCAGGTCGCTCACAGCTTTCAGGCTCCTCTGTCCAGCCCCTTCCTCCCACCTGCCCCCTCATCCCAGGCTCTTGGTTCTGAGGCCCCATTAGCTGCTCTAACAGGGTTTTCTGAGGGCCTGGGCTGCACAGGCACCTCTTGCTGCTGGGGGGAGGGAGGGATGGGAGGGGTGGGGCCAGGCCTTGCTGGGCCGGGAGGGAGGGAGGGGCCGGGCTTTTGTGGCAGCCCAAGGTCCCCTGTGGGGACAGCACACCACTTTACTCCTCTGGTCTTGTTAATGCTGCCCACATCTCCTGTCTGGGGACACGGGTAGCCAGGCTGGGTTCTGGTCACGGCCGCCCTGGGAGGGGGTCCCCATCGCGAGCCCCATGGGTAAGGCAGCCGTGACCCTGAGGGGCCCTGCCCTGCCTCCTGGGTGTGGACTCATTTAACTCTCCAGAAGATCAGGTTCTCACTGCCCCCTATGCCATGGAAGTGGTGGCTCAGAGGTGAGACGGGAACCCGGTGAGCCAGCCCGAGGCCCCGGCGTCCCCACCTGACCCTTGCCTCTGTGCACTTCCTACTGGAAGTGCTGTCCAGCCCTGGGAGCCGTGGGTGGAGGGGTCCAGAGAGTCTGTGCCCTTGAGTGGGGTTCCAGGCATCCTGCACCCCGGCAGAGGCCACTGTTCTGGCTGGGAGGCCCCGGGCATGTGGGCAGGGCCGTGAGGGGTCTGTGAGCATTAGTTCCTCGGGCAGGGCCAGCCTCTTGAGGTGGAGGATGTAGTGACCAAGCGAGCAGCCCCAGGCCAGACTCCTTGTTTGCCCTGAGCTCGGAACCTGGAGTAAGACCTGGTGTCTCCCGCGTCACTGAGGTCCACCTGAAAGGCCAGCATGCCCTGAGCCGTTAAGAACTGTGGCCGATCCGGGCCCTCACATCGCCGGTTCCGATCTCTCCTTCGGACCGCGATGGCGCGCTTGGGAAGGTGAACATGCACCCCAAAGGCTCCTGTAAAGTGAGTTCCTCTGTTTCCCCTTACATCCGAGACGGAGGAGGGCCGTTTACAGAGGTGTGTGGGGCAGGAGAGGAGAAATAGCTAGTGAGGACATCAGGTGGAGGGACGGGGACAGGGGAGCTGAGAGGCCGCCGGTGAGCCGGAGGGCGTGGGGAGAGACTCCCGCTGTTCTGTCTGTGTCTGGGCCCCCAACATGTATCCCATGCCGAGAGCCCCACCTGGGCTCAGCAGCACCTTCTGAACCCAGCTGCGCACCAGGCCCCTCCTGGGGATGCCAGAGTTTCAGAGGCGACTCCACCTCCTCCCCGCTGGGGCCTCACTGGCTCTCAGGGCAGTGGGAGGGAGGTGGCCACTGTCAAGTAAACCCCCAGGGCTGGAGGATTCCGGGGAGAGAGACAGGCTCAAGAGGGCGGGACCGGCCAGGTATGGTGAGGTTTGGGGCCGGTTCTGCCCCAGCACAGCTCGCATCTTCAGCCCCCTGGGTCCCTGCCCTTGGCCTCAGGCTCTGTCCACACTGGGCCTGGTATGGGAAGGGAGGGAGAGCCCTTTTCCTCTCTGGGCCACGGATTCCCCACACGTCAGATTGAGGGGGTCTTCTAGATCAGAGTTCTCCCAAATGTGGTGCTACAGATGTTTCATGGGAAAAAAAGGATTCTACGGTTAGGAAAACGTGTCTGTGCAGAGTGGAAGCTCCTTGGCTGCCGGCGTGGCTGAGCCCGGATGCCACGGCTCACTGCAGCCGTGGTGCAGAGGCTGGGTGTGTTTCCCAACCCCCCGCCCCAAACCCCCTCTTCTTACCCTCCCAACGCAATAGGCTGCCTGCTGCCGCCTAGCAGGGAGAGGGGATGCGTGGCAGGTGGGGAGGTGCCAGTCCTGTGTCTGTGGTGGTATTTCCATCAGATTGCCCGTGGTGCCATCTGCATCCCCCCACGGTGATGGGCAGAGAACCCACCGTCTGCCCTCATTTTGGTGGCACAGCCTGGGGCGAGTTGGGTACCATCACTGCCTGGTCTGTGTCAGCACAGCTGGGCTAGGTGGCTTCGGGGGTGGGACCTCCCTCCTGGTGTCCTCGGATGACCCAGTTGTGAACTGGGGAGAATGCGGATGGTGACACCTGCCCTCGGGGTCCCCATGACGGGGTGGGCATGTGCCAGGCGGCCGGGCGGACTGAGCTGGTGCTGGCATGGTGCTCTCCACCAGCTTCTTGCTGACATTTACTGTCGTGCCTCAGTTTCCCCCCTGTAAAACAGGGTTAATGCTAGTTTCCAGGATTACAGTTGGGATTAGGTGGGAAATTCACCACAGTGTCGACCACAGAGCCTAGAGCCTCTGGAGCGCCTGAGGGGTGCGGAATGTGCTAAAGGTGACTCTGACTGTGGGTGATACCGTGTCACCCTGACTACAGTAGCCACGAAAGCCGTAACACGTGTGTGTGCGAGGGTCCCTGTTGCGGCTCTCTTCCTCCCTCATGCCTGCTCTGGTCTGTCTGCACTGGAGCCTCGTGTTGAGGGGCTGCTGTTTTCTAGCCGGCCTCCCAGGGAACTCCCCAGAAGAGGCTGGGCTCTCGAGCACCTGCCTTCAGGTGGACGACCCGCTGTTCGGTGGTACTCCACTCAGTGCTTGTGGATCTCCCGGAGTGTGCTCCTGGAGCCTGCTGGCAGCTGTGGGAACATCCCTGGGTGCTCTTCCACGTGCCCTGTGGCAGGCGTGTCCTGCATGCACGGGAGGAAGCTTTGGTGGGCACATGAGTTTGTGGGCTCCTGGGTTCCGCAAAGCTCAAGGGACTTGGTGTGAGACTTCTCAGTGCCTTTCCTGTGCCGGTGTATACTGTGGAAGAGGCATTCTCAGGAAGTTCTTTTCTGTGGACACTTCATGGGATTGGGGTTCCACATCCTGTCAGGAGGGGTCTGTGACATGCTGCCTCTGGGGGGAGTCCCAGCAGGGCCTGGGCAGTGGGGAGGCCTGTGGCGTGGGGACAGCCGAGTGACCGTGTGCCTCCTCCCCAGGCTGGAACGAGCTGCTCATCGCCTCCTTCTCCCACCGCTCCATCGCCGTGAAGGACGGGATCCTCCTGGCCACCGGGCTGCACGTCCACCGGAACAGTGCCCACAGCGCAGGGGTGGGCGCCATCTTTGACAGGTGGGGGTGGTCCCGAGAGGGGCGATGGTGCTTCGGTCACCTCCACTGCCCGCCAGGCCAGCAGAGTCCGGCCACCTCGGCCCTGTGCATCACCTGCCTAGTATTATTTCAGGGCATGGAGGGTGCCCATGTGGAAAACAGAAAGCATGAGGAGGTGGCTTGGAGCCCCGTGCCAGTCCAGCCCTGGGCATCTAGACCACAGGGAGCGCTTCGCCTGTTTCCCTCCTGCTCTTCTTTTTCATGATCCCACGGATTTATCCACGGGAAGGAAGCTTGCTTTCTTTTTGGAGTGATTAGATCGTAGATGCAGTTTTGTAGAACTGTTGATTCCGGTTGGCACGTTGCAGGCTGTTTGGGGCTGGCATGTCGCAGGGTGTTTGGGGCTGGCACAGTCATGCTGGGGCAGCCCAGGAGGGCGTGCTGCGCTCCAGCGCCTATCCCCATGCAGGCAGGGCTGTGGGGACCACCGCGCTTCACACCTCCCAGCGGAGCACCAGTCGTACCTCAGCTGCTTCTCAGGGCCACCCTGGAGGGGCGGCGCTGCCTGGAGGGCACACCCTTGTCCCGGCCTGGTGGCCTGTGTCCATTCGTGGTGCCCTCCTGGAGCGCTGGCCCACGACGGTCCTCTGGGCGAGGTGGACAGGAGCTTCCTTTTCCCTGTCTCTGCAGCCTTTCTCCACCGGCTCAGGGAGCCCACCCAGACTGGGCCTCCTGGGGACTGGACGTCAGCTCAGCCAGCTGGGGCAGGAAGGCTGGCGAGCGGCGTTGCAGGGTCCCTTGGGCAGGGGTCTACAGCACAGGAGCAGTGAGAGGGGAGGAGCAGGCTGCCTGGAGAAGGTGGCCTCTGAGCATGAGAGCCCTGACGTTAGAGGTGGGCAGAGGCCAGGCCTCGGCACTCACAGGGGAATGAATGAACCAACAGCAGTGCCCCATGGGGCAGTTCAGGTCCCCAAGTCCTGCGGGTGTGCAAAAGCGTTTGTGGCCGCAGACGGTGGGGAAATGCTAGTTTAAATTGTGTGCTTCAGAGGCTTGCTGCAGGACTTGTCAGGGCCTTTAAGAAAGCGTACAGGAGAGTCCTCACGGGGGCTGCAGGGTGCCATGTTTATTGCCCACAGGAGCTTCTTTAGAGGGGTACTGGGGATGCGGCTTAGGGAAGTGAAGCCCCAGCCACCGTCTAGCTGACAGCTCCTTTGTTTGGCTGATGAAGAGATGACAGAGGCCTTGGGGTCACATTCTCTGGGGCCCCAGAGCAGTGACGACAGAGCCCCGCGTTTCCTTGCCTTTTGTGCGAGTGGAATACAGTCTTTGCCCTTGGTGGCCCAGAGCTTTTCCGTGTCCGCTGCAGTGTGTGCCCCTGCCTCAGAGCAGACATCGGGGTTCCTCCCAGCTCCTGTTCTGTCCCCCTCTATCCTCCAGGCTCCCTCAGATCTCCGAGGAACCAGCCAGGGCACTCCCCCTTCTGTAGACCCTCAGGGCCCCCCTTGGCCCACAGGGGAACGCCCAGACTCCTTAGGCGGCCCTCTAGGCCCCACCCGGCCATCTCCCTTTCCCTGCCGTGGCCCACCCTCACTTCCTGGTCAGCAGTCCAGCTTTGGAGTTGCTGGGCGGGCTGCTGAGGCTAGGGGGCCCAGGACACTGCAGAGAGGCCGGTGGGATTCGGAGTCTAGCTGCAGGGGCGGGCAGCTGAGTCCCATCTGAGAATGTCCCCAGCGGCTTTGGGGAGGGAGTTGGTGGGTTTTTTTCTCTGGTGACAAGAAGTGGAAATGCTTCCCTCTGGCAGCCCCCACCCAGGGAGACCAGGTCCTGGGGAAAGCTCTCTCTCTGGAGTGAAGGGAGCACTGGGGCTGTGCCACGGGCCGAGGCTTTGCCTCAGGCGGTGCTGGGTCCGCAGCTGAGGAGGGACAGCGGTGGGTCTCGCTGGGCTCAGGAGTGGACCCTGCCCCAAGTGCCGCCCTGGCTCACCTCGGCTTAGCTGTCATGAGGCCCTTCCTTAGCATCTAGGTTCCCAGAATAAAGCTTCACAGACAGACCCTAGAGGAAAAGGAGAGAAGCCCACCCTCTGGGCAGACCTGGCAGAGGTGGCACTTGGGCCTGGGTTCCTGTCCACTCCCGCTCTGGCTGTCTGGCAGCTCGTGCCTTGGCTTGGCCCATCTCAGCCACCCTTGGGCCACAGTGGGCTCCCAGAGGCCTTGGGTATCTGGGGTGGGGCCCTGGTGAGGGCCACGGCCTAACAGGGATGGGGTGTCTGCCCTCTGCTGCAGGGTGCTGACGGAGCTTGTGTCCAAGATGCGGGACATGCAGATGGACAAGACGGAGCTGGGCTGCCTGCGCGCCATCGTCCTCTTCAACCCCGGTACGGCCTTCCTGCCTCGCGGCTCCTGGCCCCGTTCTCCGGTGGGACGGGGGCACCTGGGCCGCCTCCGGTCCGCGCCTCTTGCTGTGGCTGCGCGTGGGGCCAACTCGCACCCTCCCTGAGCTCAGCGGGTTCCCGTCCCAGCCAGTGTGGCCACTTTTCTGGGGCTGCTCTGCCTTCTGCTCACAGGGGGCCCAGCAAGGCACTTGTTTTCAGGGGCTTGGTGGTGCCTCTGGGCTCTGCCTTGGCAGTGTCCACCATTGTGCGTGGGAATCCAGACTCTGCAGTGGCCGGCTGTGGTGTGACCTTCTGGTGCTCAGGTTCAGGAGCTCCAGGCCCTGCAGGCTGGCGATCGGGATGGGTCAGGTGTGCCGGGTGTTCTGGAGAGGACCAGCCTCATCCCTGAGCCTAGGGTCCAGGGTGCTTCCGGGGCTGGGCCCCTGCGGTTGAGGACAGCAGGGCTGGGGACTTGGGGCTGGGGGCCTGGGGTGGGCGCAGGCCTCTTGGCCGACAGTGCTGCCCTTCTCCAGACTCTGGGTTCTCTGCTCTAAAAGCCTCCTAAGTGTTAGTCCTTCACCCAGCAAGTGCTAACACATGCCTGTTTGCCTGGCATCCTGCCGTGCATGGGAGGGCTCCTTCAGGGTGCTGGGTAGGGCCTGCCTGCCCAGGGCTCCAGGTTCAGAGGGTCACGCCCACCAGCAGGTGTCCCCGGGCATATAATCCTGTCACCATGGAGGCTGAGTCACACCTGGCCCAAGGAATCCCCACTCAGGTCCCGTGTGGCCTGATTGCCAGAGTGGGGGTACCAGCAGGACCTAGGCCTGGGCTTGTAGGGAGGGTGAGGAGACATGAGCATTGACTGGCATGAGCAGGGTCTGGGCACAGGCTTGCAGGGAGGGTGAGGAGCCTGGCTGGAGCTGAGGCAGCCGGGGGAGCCAGACACGTTGCCAAGGAGCCCCAGGACCCGGGCCAAAGTGGCACTCACGGGGGTCTCTGGGCCTTGGAGGTGTTGGTGGCTGCAATCCCAGACCGTTTGCTCTAGGCTCGTGACCCCGGGGCCTGAGCTCAGCGCTCTCCAGCATCCTGAGGGTGGGTTTCCGCAGGCTCCGGGTGCTCCTGGGGCGGCATTGGTGGCTCCCATCCGTATTACGGGGCTGGGACCCAAGGGTAACAGAGGCGTCCATTGTCAGTCCCTGCGGCAGCTGGAAGGCAGCAGGTTCCGGACACGAGTCTCTGGAGGGCGAATGATTGACCCAAGGTCACATGGCTGGCAAGTGGCAGAGCCGGGCTTGGGCCCAGAGCAGCCTGGCCTGGACTCGGGTTCCACAGTTGCCCCCTGCCGGTGGGCTCTGGGGTCGTGTCCTGTGGCATCCCTCACACCACCTGCTCTGCCCGTATCGGGGCAGCCTGGGAGACCCCACACAGGCCTGGGTCCTGGGGGCAGGTGCCCGGGACGCGCCCCAGCTGAGGGTTCTGACCTGCGGCCTCTCCTCCTTTCAGACTCCAAGGGGCTCTCGAACCCAGCCGAGGTGGAGGCGCTGAGGGAGAAGGTCTACGCGTCCCTGGAGGCCTACTGCAAACAGAAGTACCCAGAGCAGCCGGGAAGGTGGGCCCCGCCCCCCGCAGACCCCAGACCCGGGCTCTTGTCTCCAGAGCCCCCACCCTCTGCAAGGCTGTTTTATGTGAACGAGAAGGTGGCAGCCTCTCCGGGCCAGTGGGCCATGGCAGGTGTGACCCACAGGTTCACGCTGTGTGTATCCCTGCCGGAAGGATTACCTCGGACCTGGCGTGTAGTAGGTGCTTGTCTTTCTCGAGTAGGTAGATGCAGGCTGTGCTTCACCCCCTACCCACTCCCCTGCCAAGCAGGACCACCAGAGGCCAGGCGACACCAGCACACAGTAGGTACTTCACAAGCATGTGTAGCCTAGATGGCCTGATGTCCACACATAATCAACGTTCTCTACGAGTGTGTACAGAATAGGTGGTCATGGCCCCCTTGAGGAGTTCATTCCCCCCACGCCTGACAGAGGGCCCCAGAAGGGCTGGGAGCCTCTCATCTCTGAGTCCACGTTGCTGGGTGCGCAGTAGGTGTCCAGGAAGAGAAACTTGTGGATTCCTGGGATTCAGAGTCAGCTCTCCACATTCTGCCCCTTCTCTCTAAAGAGGCTTCTCGTGGCCTTGATCCTCAGACTGTGGGCGAGGGGTAGGGTGAGGGGGGACCCCAGACCCGTAGGACACCCAGGCCCTGGTGCCACCGGCACGTACATGGTTAACCGTGTCCCCGCTGCCTGCTCGGCCCTCATCTGGCTGGGTTTAAAGTGAAACTTCCCCGAGGACGAGGACAGGAGGGGGTGGCAGGCGGCTTGTTTTTCCTGGCTTTCTGCCGTGGCCCATCTCGCCAGCTCAGCAGAAAACAGCTTGTTCTCTGGCCCCACTCCAGCCTCTGCGCTGTTTTTGCCTTTAAAACAAGAACTGTGAGGCAGCCAACCACAGAGCTTTTCCCCGAAATAAAGACTTCGTTAATAATTAATGAGGTTCTGCAGCCCCTGGTGGGGCTGCGTGGAGACCCAGGCGGTGCACAGGGGCCCTGGGGCAGACATGGGCAGCCGGGAGGGACACCTGACCCCGTCACCACGGCACCCTGTCCTCTGTGGCAGCTGCTGCCCTTGTGCCTGGCCCTCTGCACCTCTTCCCAGAGCCTCAGACTTCTCCCCTGCCTCTGCACTGGTCCCTGCCCCAGGAAACTCCCCAGGGGTGGGCCGGGCCCTGAGGAGCAACCCATGGTCCTTCCCTCCACGCCAGCCTTCCCTGACCATGCTGTGCCCAACGTCGGCACAGCTGTTTCTGTTGAAGAGGTGGCCCTTGGTCTGGGGCCCGCCGCCCTGCACGAGGTGTGGTGGGGAGGTGTGGTGGGGTGCTGACGTTTTATGGGAAGGGGCTTGCCTGGCATGCGGCTCCCGGGTCAGGCCTGGCTCCCCCTGCAGTGGGGGCACAGCCTGAACACCACCCCCATGCCCTTTGCCTTCTTGGTTGCCCATCCAGTGCCCGGCCCGTTCCTGCCACTCACCAGCTGTCTGGCTGGGACGGCGGCAGTGGCCAGAGGCATCGCTGACATGTCCACTCCTGCAGCTCTCCCCTGCTGCAAATCCCACTGATGGTCCCCACGGCCCACACTTTTTCGTTTTTTAGGACACAGTCTTGCTCTGTGGCCCAGGCTGGAGTGCAGTGGTGACGTGGTAGTTCACTGCAGCCTCCACCGCCGGCTCTCAAGCGGGCCTCCCTGCAGGCGCGCACCGCCACGCCCAGCTACTTTCTTTCTCTTTCTGTTGTGTAGACACACGGTCTCACTGTGTCGCCCAGGCTGGTCTCGAACTCCTGGGCTCCAGCTGTCCTCCCACCTTGGCCTCTCAAAGTGCTGAGATGACAAGTGTGAGCTACCCAGCTGCCCCCACCCGCCGCTGTCGGGCCCCGCCCCTCCTCTCTGTCTTCGGCCCCGGCCCCGGCCCTGGGGATCTCCCTTCACTCTCCTGGATCTGGCTGCTGCTGCCTGATTCCTTTTGGCCTCCCCTCCTTCCTTCTGGGGGCTTGGCACAGGCAGGCCGTGGGCTACAGACCAGCTTCAGGGGGGTTGGGCTGTCAGACACAGCCCCATCCCCAGGGAGGCCTCCAGGTGCCACGGCAGGACTGCCCATGCCCCTTGCCCGGCCCTCACTGGACCCCTTCCCTGCAGGTTTGCCAAGCTCTTGCTCCGCCTGCCGGCTCTGCGCTCCATTGGGCTCAAGTGCCTGGAACATCTCTTCTTCTTCAAGCTAATTGGAGACACGCCCATCGACACCTTCCTCATGGAGATGCTGGAAGCCCCGCACCAAATGACTTAGGCCTGCGGGCCCATCCTTCGCGCCCGCCCGGTCCGGCCACCCCGCCTGGACGCAGCTGCTCTTCTCAGCCCGAGCCCTGCCCCTGCCCTTCTCTGCCTGGCCTGTTTGGACTTTGGGGCGCAGCCTGTCACTGCTCTGCCTAAGAGATGTGTTGTCACCTCCTTCTTTCTGTTACTACTTGTCTGTGGCCCAGGGCAGTGGCTTTCCTGAGGCGGCAGCCTGAGTGGCAAGAACTAGAGTAAGCCCGGCCAGGCGCCTCCCCACCGGGCTCTCAGGACATCCTGCCACACCCCATGGGGCTTGGGTGGCTCATAGGGGTCTCCCGGCTCCGGGCCCTGGAGCTGCAGGAGTTGGGAATGGGGCCTCGGTTTCCATTGCTGTTGATCGTTGCTGGTTTTCAGAATTCCCGTGTGGCCCTCCTGTCTGGAGTGACGTCTTCGCCTGCTCTGACTACCGGTGCCCCGCCTGCCCATGACAGCTCCCCCTAACCAGGAGGAGGGGACAGCTGGGGGCACAGGCTGGCGTGTCATCAGCCAAGACCTCAGCTGCCTCGGGGACGAGAGGGGCCAGCAGGCTGCCCTGTGCTGTGAGTGAAGGGAAAGCAGCGTCTTTTTCCAAAGATAACTCGCGGTGTTGCCCTCGAGCCAACGAGAATATGAGCCGACCTCCGTGCAGGGTTTCGGGGCCACCTCCAGGCTGCAGGGACGGGTGTCACTCACCCCCCCGGTCTTCTCTCTGCCTTGGTGTCCTGGCTTCAGACTCCCCCTTCCTGTTGAGACCGGAGTGCCTCGGTCCGTCCCCAGCCTGAGTCTTCTCTTCGCCCTGCCAGGTGGGCTGAGGCCTGTCCTTGGTTCCTGCGGAGCTGGCCCTGGCTGGGCAGGGTGGGGCATCACCACGTCCCTGGCCTTGCTGGAAGCACAGGGCCCTGCTGACCTGCAGCCGTCTGTGAGGCCCTCGTGGACGGGAGGGGAGGGGGCAGGTGGCCTGGAGAGAGGGGTTCAGGAACTGGGGCCTCGTGGCCTAGAGCGGCTCTGCAGGGGCATTGGTGGGACCCTCACTCAGGCCTTCTCTCCGCTACCAGTGTGTCTAAGACTTGGAACCTGAGAACCCTGAGTCGTAGTGCCCTTGGTCCCGGGCCACACGCAGGCCCTGGTGGGACCACCCAGCCCGGTGGTGTCCAGAGACAGCGTGCTCACCCAGAGCCTTACTTGGGAGCCTCACTGAACGCCCGCTCCGGTTGAAGGTGGGGGGCTGAGGGCCTCCCCGGCTCAGCCCCGTGCGGCCCGGCGCTCCACCCCCAGGTTCTCCCCCGTCCAGTGGTGCAGGGCTCTCTCAGGTTGAACTCGCCTCTTTTGCACTGGAAGGCCCTTCCTTTGGCCTGAGTCCTTTTCCTGTTCACGCCTCAGTCCCATGGACCCAGCCTTTGTCAGTAGCAGGTGCCTGAACAGCAGATGGGTGGGGGGATGCAGGAGGGGGCCTTGTCTTCCCAGCAGCAGTCTAGGAATGGATCGGGGGAGTAGGCGTCTTCTCCAAAGGCTTTCCCCACCTGGAGCAGGGGAGTGTGGGCTGCCCCAGCAGGGGCTCCTCGGTGGGGAGGGGAGCTGCCTGGGGGGTTGGGCCGGGAGGCAGCGGCTCAGAGGGGCAGCGTTCCAGCCTTGGTTGGGAGGAGTGTCCATTCTTTGCCTTCCTGGAGCTTCCAGCCAGAGCTGAGCTGAGGGACTGGGTGGAGCCTGCAGCTGAGTCTGCCCGAGACAGAGACTGTTCAGAGGTTCCAGAAGCCTCTCATTCCCGCCCCCCTCCACCCCCGCCTTTTAGTGGCGTGGATCCCCAGAGGTGCCCTCTGTCCAGCCACCATCCTGAGGCGGAGTGGCGAGCCTCACACCTGTAACAGGCCCCTGGCCAGCTGGGTCCCTCCCAGGCACTGCCGGGTGCTCTGGGGCCCAATGGTGGGAGCGTGAGAGACCCCACACCAACACCCGGTGCCTTCTGCAGCCAGTGCCCATCCGTGTGCACCCCGACACTTGGGAATGCCCGCGGCTCCAGAGGAAGAAGCCCAGGGCCGGGGCCTCGTTTTCGGGGGCTCGGCTGCTTCTTGGCAGTCCTGCCGTTTCCAGCTCTGGCTGGCTGGCTGTAAAGCACTGAGGCCCGCCCCGGGCTGCCAACCCCTGAAAGCAGAACCCTGGCCTCCCTGGCCCCTGCAGCCTTCTCCACCAGCCCTCGTGGCCTGGGTTCTTCCTGCAGCCTTCCCCCCAGCCCACATGGCCTGGGTTCTTCCTGCAGCCTTCCTGCCCCTTCTCATCAGCCTTGTGGTTGTACAACCAGTGCTGTTGGTTTGGAAAGGTGACGCGTGAGGAGTGTGGCTCGTTACTCAGTGGAGAGGTAGAGTTTCTATTTATCCAGACCTGCAGTAGCATTACCAATCTGGTTCAATTAAGGTGATTTTTTGGTAATTATTATTTTGGTGGGACAATCTTTAATTTTCTAAAGATAGCACTAACATCAGCTCATTAGCCACCTGTGCCTGTCCCCGGCTCGGCCCGGCTGGATGAAGTGGCTTCCCCACAGGCCCCCCCTTCGCAGTGGCTGCTTCCTGGGCCACAAGGGCACCCCGGCGCCTTCAGGCGAGCTCCTCAGCTGGTCACCTCCTTGCTTTGCCTTCCGATGGGGCTCCTGAGGCTGAGGAGTGAAGATGCCGCAGAGCCGGGCCACCCTAGGCTTCGTCGGGTGTGTTCTGGAAGCTGGCCTGCTGGGACCCTCCACCCTGGGGCCTGTGTCAGCCACCGGTCCTCTGCACCCTGGAAGCACACGGGCTCTGGGAAAGACAGCCCTGACCTTCGGTGTTCCAAGTCACTGTGTTCCCCAAGAATTCTGGGCTGGCGGCCTGATGGCCGTGCTGGAGAAGACCCTGAGCCTTTCCCCGTGGGGCACCCAGGAGGGCCTGGCCAGTATGTGCAGCCTGTGGGTGGCCGGCTGACGTCCCTGCCGTGCTCAGGGTGTGTCACCTGGTGCCCATCCATACAGGTGTGTGGTGTAACATGTATGTGCTGTACAGACGTGTGGAGAGAGCCGCGCACCAGGGCCACGGAGAGGCGGAGCAGTTACCAATGTTTCGTGTTTATTTTTAATCAAGACGTTTCCCGTTTTCCTATAAATTTGCTTAGTGTAAGCAAGTACATAAGGACCCTCCTTTGGTGAAATCCGGGTTCGAATGAATATCTCAAGGCAGGAGATGCATCTATTTTAAGATGCTTTGGAGCAGACAGCTTTAGCCGTTCCCAATCCTTAGCAATGCCTTAGCTGGGACGCATAGCTAATACTTTAGAGAGGATGACGGATACATAAGAGAGTAAAGATAAGAGAAAATGTCTAAAGCATCTGGAAAGGTAAAAAAAAAAATCTATTTTTGTACAAATGTAATTTTATCCCTCATGTATACTTGGATATGGCGGGGGGAGGGCTGGGACTGTTTTGTTTCTGCTTCTAGAGATTGATGTGAACGCTTCCTCGGAGAGACGCCAGGGCAGGCGGTGGCAGAGGAGAGGGCCCTTGTGACAGCGGCGAGGCTTGGGAGGAAACCACCACCGGGGCCATCTTCCTTGGGGACGGGAGGGTGGGCCTGAGGCTTTCAAGGGTTTTCTTCCCCTTTTGAGTAATTTTTAAAGCCTTGCTCTGTTGTGTCCTGTGGCCAGCCTTCCTGTGACTGTGACTGAAACGGTTTCCCCATAGATCGTCTGAAACATGGCGGCCGCAGGTGCTGGGGCCTGATGGACAGTGGCATAGAATTGTGGAAAAGAAACACCCAAAGGGAGACACGTGAGAGAAGAAACAAAATATGAGTGTTTAAAATACATCGCCATTCAGTTCTTGTTTGTTCTGCCTGAGGACTTTTTTGTTTGGAGCGGGAGGGCCTGTGGTCAGCCCCCACCAGCCCACCCTCCTCCCCACCAGGTCCTGTGGGCCACGCTCTGAAGAGTTCTGTCCCTGCTCGCTGGGCTCTGCTGCTCCTCCCAGGGGCCGGGAACCGGGGCCTCCATGAGGGCAGGGCGCCTGTCAGCAGCCAGGGGCACCGGGCCTGTGGGCACCTGCACAGCCCGAGTATTCTCACCTGTCCGCCCCAGGCTGCCAGAGACACACGCCTCTGCAGCCATGCTGGCCCAGGTCAGCAGGAGGTGCACCCGGAGGCTGAGGGAACACATGATGTCACCCAATGGCCCCAATAATAACAGGTTAATGCCGCCCCATATGCACGTCTCCTGTGATAAGTGCCCTCTGTCTCCATGCTGTCTGGGGCTGGTCTTGAACCCTCTCATGCACCTGTGTCCAGCTGGGCACCCTCCCCGGGAGGCACCAGACACACTGAAGATGGGGAGTGGGGCTTCGAGGGTCCAGGTCCTGCCCTGTGGTGGTGGGCACAGGGCAGTGTGACCTGTGTCCAGAGCAGGGGTGACTCCCAGGTGAGACTCAAGATGGAACAGCCTGCCGCCTGAAGGACACACATGCATTCACACACTTGCATACTCACACAGGCAGACATGCTCACGTGCACCCTCAAACCCATTCATACACATGGACACATACATTCACACGCTCACACGCACACTTTGGCATGCACGCCCATGCTCAAGCCACATGCATATCCATACACACTCCCCTGCACACACCCATACATGCTCTCATGTGCACACTCCTACACCCTTGCACACACACCCACACACGCTGTCATGTGTACACACACCCTTGCACACACCCATACATGCTCATGTGGGCTCATACACCCTTGCACACACCCATACACACTCGTGCACACGCCCTCACACACACCCCCATACAGGCTCTCGTGCACACACACACCCTTGCGTGCACTTATACACGCTCATGTGTACACATACACCCTTGCACACACACCCATACACGCTCGTGCACACATACACCTTTGCACACATACCCATACACGCTCTCATGTGCATGCTCATACACCCTTGCACACACCCATACGCTCATGTGTACACATCCTTGCACACACACCCATACACGCTGTCGTGTACACACACCCATACACGCTCTCATGTGCACACATACACCCTTGCACACACACCCATACATCCTCGTGAAAACACCCATACGCACTCCCGTGCACACACTGACTCCCACTCATGAACATCACACTTGTGCTCCGCCCTGGAGGGGTGTGCAGAGCAGTGGGGGTTGTTGGGGGCAGGGCTGAGTCAGCTCCCTTGCTGGAGTCAGGACGCCACGGCAACGTTCTCCCTCTTCCTGGGAGCAGCAGCTGTGCCCTGAAACTCGGCCCCTCCCTAAGCCCCAGCTGTGAATGGTTGGTGCCACAGGAGGCTGGACACACTTTGCCATCTTAGGAGCCGCTGAAGGTCCCAGCGAGGAGCCTCCCTGGGTGTTGCACGCCCTCCGCTGCCAGGGCCTTGGCTCTGCCCACCAAGACCAGCCTGGGCTTTTCCAGAGGGCCCCAAGTGAGAATGGACCCTGAGGGAGGGCAGAGCCCTGGAAGTACCCACCCGCTTCCTCTGTGCCCCACAGCCCTCTGCCGATCTGGCCTGGGGGGCCTGGCCCACCCAGGCTCCCTGTAGACAATCTTGTACACATAAAGCAGGCGGGACCCTTCTGTGGTCTGGAAAGGGGGTTGGCCCTGGGGCCTTGGGAACTGGAATGTGGGCTCCGTGTTGCAGGGCCTCCCGTCCTGCTGTGGGCATGGCCACATGGCTGAGCAATGCTGTGTGAGACAGCAACACAGGTTGGAAGCTGGCTCTGTGCCCTGGTGGCCCCCTGGACGCTGGGCACCTGTCTTCAGGGTGAGTGAGGGAGCCCTCAGAGTTCTTAGACCATGGTGCACGGACAAAAGGGGAAAGCTCAGGTGTGCGGGTGCAGGAGACGGACCGCTTGGGGCTCCAGGAGAGCCCCAGGAAGAGGAAGCTTCCTCATGGGTTCCCAGGGCCTTGGTGCTGGTTTTAATAATGGGGCAGGGAACTACACGGGACTTCCTGGGGTGAGCGTGGTGGGGGAGTTTGGTGTCCCTGCAGGGACATGAACGCCACCCTGTGCTCACACCAGCCAGGCAGAAGCTCCAGGCTGCCGACTGGCATGGCATCGCAGGACACCCCAGCCTTGGGCCTCCCTGCGGCATCTGGTTGCCATGGCGACTCCTGGCCAGGGAAGTCCCTCGGGACCAGAGATGCTGGGCCTGATAAGTTCATCACCAGCACGCTCAGGCGGTGACAGCCAGTGTGGGCTGGGGGGCTGTGAACTGAGAGGCCTGTGAGGGCGGGGCTTAGGCACCTGCGGTGGGGGCAGGGACACATGGCTCTTGGATGGGTGTTACTGAGCTCCCCGTGCTGCTGTCTCTACCGTCGGCCAGCAGACAGCGTGATGGGAGGAAGGGCACGCGTGGGGAATGGGGCGCATCCTGGGAGAACAGAGCAGCCCCTCACAGAGACCCCGGTACAGGCAGTGCATACGCAGGGAGGAGGAGGCGGCCATTGCTGTGCCCGAGGACATCCGCACCTGGGTGGCCAGAGGAGGTCAGGGAAGCCTCGGGAGCCTCAGGAGGGAGGGGCTGGGGTGTGGAGGCGTCGGGAAGGGCCACGTAGTGCCCGCGTCCCAGGCCCCGGATTCTCCGAGGGGCACACCTGCTCCCCCTCCCCCGGCAGGGACTCAGACAGCATCGGGGCAGGCCGGCCCTGGAGTGTGGCTCTTTCCGCCTGCCCTTCTGCCCTCTGCACAGATGCCCCGAGGGAATCCGCAGTCCCCAGAGCGTGTCCTCACCCTCGCAGAGCCCCTGGGAGGAAGGAGTTTGCCCAAAGGGAGCCCGAGGCAGGACCAGGTCCCATCCCACCCCCTGGGTTATAACCCAAGGCCGTCAGCATGTGCTGGCCCCAAGGACAGATGCACCGTGCCCGTGGCCGCGCCCGTGCATGAGGCAGCGCTGCCCCCTGCTGGCGATGCTGGGACAGCGCGGTGCTCTGGTCCCTTCTGGCACCTCCAGTCCCGCGGGGGCCACAGTGGCTCCGGCAGCCCCCGGGGCTGATTCCTGAGTTAGAATCACCCGGGGAACTCCCCCACCCAGTCACACCCCTGCTCACTGCAACAGGCAGTCCAGGCAGGAGCCAGCTGCATCCGAGTTTCACCCAGGTGCCTGGCGGTCAGCTGTGTGGGAAGCTGGGCACACAGCGCTACTACTGGGTGGCAGGTGGGCTTGGCCTGCAGCAGGGGCGGGGCGGGGCGGGAAGGTGAGGGCGGAGTGGCAGGGAGGGAGGGGGTGGGTCCTGCCCTCTCTGAGTCCCAGCTCTCCATCTCCACAATGAGGACACACTCCCTACTTTCCAGGGCTGTTGTGACCAGGGCCTTGGCCACCCAGAAAATGCTTTACAGCGGCTGCTAATGCAGGGCATGCGGGAGGGGCCGGGAAGACTCAGTCCTTTGCTCTTGGGACGAAGGGTGGGCAGCAGGAACCCTTGGAGATTTGACCTGGATCCACCTCTGGGCAAGGCCAGGACTGTGGGCCTAGGTTCCAGGGCCTGGGGGCCAGGAGGTGGCATCATGGCTCTTGCCCACTATGGGGCATGGGGGAGGTCAGGTGCCATGGTGCCTTCCAAGGTGAGCAGTGGAGCCCTTGAGGTCCAAGGGCAGAGCAGAGACCCCTGTGTGGGTCAGTGGGGGCATTGGGGAAGCACCGAGACAGGACTCAGTGGTCTCCCTTCCTTCCCCCTCCCTCCTTCCCCCCTCCCTCCTTTCTCCTCCCTCCCTCCTTTCCCCTCCCTTCCTCCTTCCTTCCTCCCTCCTCTTCCCCCCTCCTTCCCTCTTTCTTCCTTCCTCCTTCCCTCCTTTCTCCCTCCATCTTCACCCTTCCCTCCCTCCTTCCTCCCCCTGTTTTCTCCCCTTTCCCCCCTCCTTCCTTCCCCCTCCTTCCTTCCCCCTCTTTCCTTCCCCCCTCTTTCCTTCCTCTTTTCCCTCCTTCTTTCCTCCCTCCTTCCTCCTTTCTTCTCCATTCCCTCCCTCCTGCTTCCTCCCTCTTTCCCCTCCCATCTTTCCCCCTTTCTTCCGTCCCCCTCCCTCCTTCCTTCCCCCTCCCTCCCTCTTTCCTTCCCCCTCCCTCCCTCCTTCCTTCCCCCTCCCTCCCTCCTTCCTTCCCCCTTCCTCCCTCCTTCCTTCTCCCTCCCTCCCTCTTTCCTTTCCCCTCCCTCTCTCCCTCTTTCCTTTCTCCTCCCTCTCTCCTTCCCTCCTCCCTCCCTCCTTGTGCCTCTCCCTCTGGCCCAGGCCTGTCCTGAAGACTCTCATCTACTCCACCAGGGCAGGAAGGCACTGAAACACCGGGCCCCTGGGGCTGGACCCCTGAGGATCCACATGCCTCCCTGCTGCCCTCAGCAGGTGACACTGATGCAGCAGAGCCTGTTTCGGCGACAGAGAGACAGGTCCCAGGGTCCCTGAAGAACAGGGAGTCCATCCTTGGGGGAAGCTGGCCAGGCAGGGCCTTCATCCTCCCCTGTCCGTGCAACAGCAGCTGCCAAAACCTGGCCCAGCCCATCTTGGGGGGCAGCGGAACCCCACCTCCTGCAGTGTGAAGGTTAGAAAACCAGGCCTGAGGGCCATGCCCATTGGAGGACCATGGGCAAAAGCACTTCCCTCCCCAGCCTCAGTCTCCCCCGTGGCCCGGGTGAGAATTGCAGTGAGTGTTGTGTTGTGAAGCCCAGGAAGGTCACACCAGGGTTGAGCTCTCACTGAAGAGTGGAGAGCAGTGATCTCACCAGGGGAGCTGAGCCCGCTGCTCGGGTACAGAGTGTGGCTGGAGAGCAGGTGGCGTTCAGGGCCAGCACTCTGGCCGAGAGCTGCCTCAGTGTTCGCTC